AGTCTTGAGCTGTGTGCCTTGCTCGTTAGTCTGTGCTCTCTCTCTCTCTCCCCGCCTCCTACCTCCCTCTGTCCACTGGTCTGCACCCCTCTCCCTGGCATTGTTCACAGCTCACTCCCTCAGAAGTGCTAAGCGAGGGTCAACACAGGAATGTCCTTGAAGAGCCAGGGCAGGAGGGCAGTGGTTCTCCAGTGCTGGGATCCCACGTTCTCCTCCTCACCATCTTAACAGCTTCCCATTATTAATGCCTTACCCTAGGCCAAGCTCTGTGCAAAAAGCTCCTCATGCCTCAGCTCACCTAATCTTTGCAGTGACCCTTTGCACTAGGATTTTAGGGTTGAGAAAGCTGAGAGCTTGGGAGGTACAGTGACTTGCTTGTGGTCTAAGAGTTAAGAAGCATTGGTGCCAGCACTTGACTCCACCCATGTGTCTTTGGCAGCAAGGACAGCGCTCCCCACCACTAAGCCACACGGCTTCCCTGCATAAATGAAGCAGTGCAGGGCAGGGCAGAGGCGTGCCCGCTAGTCAGCATCACTTGTAGAAACACCACCTGGTACAAAAAGCAGTTTATTTTATCAACTCGGACACTGTCACCACACTCCCTGGGTCCAATATTGGCTCTGTGCTACTGTGTAACTTTGGCCAAGTTATGTAACCCCTCTGAGCCTGTTTCCTACTATTTTGAGGCTACAGTGAGGATTAGATAAGATGATGTATAAAAGCACACAGGGCACTCCCCGTATGTACACAGTAGGCACACAATAAGTGATAGATAATAACATGGAAACTAATGAAGTGTTGTGATGGGGAGTAAATATATATTTTAAGGCATGCGTATGTGTATTTGTGGGTGTGCATGTAGGTGTTGGAAGATGTGAGTGCCCCACAGATCCCCTTACCAGGCTGGAGCTCCTACCTCCCAGAGCTGCAAAGGTTGGCTGCAAACAGCCCTCAGCTGCCCCCTTACCTGCAGAATTGCCTTCACCAGAATGGGAGCCCCCTGGACAAGAAGGTTATTCCCACCCCCTGGAGAGAGCCTGTAGCCAGAGCCTGATTTGGAGTGGGGAGTTGTGCAAAAGGCTACCCCTGCCTTGCAGTTCACATCCCAGGGTGCCCCCTAGCATTGGGCTGAGTCCTAGACTGCGCAGAGACCACACCCTTACTTGGCTCCTTCCCCTGCTCTATCCTGCTCCCTCACTCCCTCTCTTCTGAGAACGTGCCACATGCACAGATCCCTGCTTCAGGCTCTGCATCAGGGCAGCCCAACCTGAGATATCTCATACACACACTGTCTTAGTTATCTAGTGCTATTGTAACAGAAATACCATAAGTGGATGGCTTTAACAAACAGAAATTTATTCTCTCACAGTCTAGGAGGCTAAAAGTCTGAATTCAGGGTGCCAGCTCTAGAGGAAGGCTTTCTTTCTCTGTCAGCTCTGGGGGAAGGTCCTTGTCATCAATCTTCCCTTGGTCTAGAAGCTTCTCAGCACAGATCCAAAGGACGCACTCTCCTCCTGGTTCTTCATTCTTGGTGGTTAGATTGATTCAAGACACAACCTAATCCTGTAGATGTAGTCCTGCCTCATTAACATAACTGCTTCTAATCCTGCCTCATTAACATCATAGAGGCAGGATTTACAACAGCAGGAAAATCGCATCACATCACAAAATGGTGGACAATTGCACAATACTGGGAATCATAGCTTAGCCAAGTTGACATATATTTTGGGGGGACACAATTCAATCCATGACATGCACATACCACATCTAACATATAAATATACACATACACACATGTATAACATACAAACACATATGTTTAACACATAAATACACATGTATCTAACATATAAATACACATCTAACATATAAATACATACTCCTGTTACATAAATATACATCTAATATACATACACATGCATATAACATGTACCACATGCATCTAACACAAATACACATGTCTAACATACAAACACACATGTCTAACATAAATACACACAGCATGTAAACATGCATACATCTAACATACATACACCTACTATATAAATACACACATCTAACATATATACATATCTATAACATGTACACACATACATTTAACATATATACATATGCATCTAATACATACACATATCTAACATATAAGCATATACCTAACATACAAATATACCCATCTAACATATACACAGCCTAACGTCTACATATGCATCTAACATATAAACATACAGTCCAAGATATAACTACACATGCATCTAACGTAAGCATAAACATCTAACACATAAATAAAAACCCAAAACCAAACCCGTTGCCATCAAGTTGATTCTGACTGATAGCAACCCTATAGGACAGAGTAGAGCTGCTGCAAAGAGTTTCCAAGAAGTTGCTAGTGGATTCATACTGCTGACCTTTTGGGTAGTAGCCAAGCTCTTAACCACTGCACTACCAGGGCTCCAACATACACACAATTTTACCTATATATGTGTGTGTGTGTGTGTGTGTGTGTATTCTTTTTTTTTTAAGATGATGTGAAAAAAGTCACAACTCCACTGTCCTCTTAAAAAATCCATTGCCATCAAGTCAATTCCAACTCATAGCAACCGTATAGGACAGAGTAGAACTGTAGGACAGAGTAGAACTGCCTCATAGGGTTTCCAAGAAGCAGCTGGTGGGTTCAAACCGCTGACCTTTTGGTTAGCAGCCAAATTCTTAACCACTGTGCCACCAGGGCTCTGCTGTCCCCTTAGGATCCTTTTTTTTCTTCACTGCCTGGGTCTGTCCCAGTCCATCCTGTGTGAGCAGCTCAGCCCTCCTGCAGACCACACTGGCCTCAAACCCTGGCCCTAATTCTGCTGCACTTTAAAAGCAAAGAAACTCAAGAAAACCCTAAATTGGTGGCATTTCTGTTGTAGAAAATTCAGTTGTCTTGACTTTGTATTCCGCATTCTCTGCATGTTTTCATTAACTGTATTTCCAGAAAGGTGTTGTGTTTCTGGGAGTTGGCATGAAAGAAACCCCCTGTGTTTCACAGGTGTGCCCTGCTGGGTCTGTCCGGGTGGTGAGTGGTTAGAGAGGGAGTCAGTCCCAGGATCCTGGGCCACTCTGTGTGCTGGCCCTGTCCAGAGTGCTGAATCTCCGAGTTGTACCTGCCCAGCAAGCCAAATGTTTCTGTCTCCTCCAGCATTCTAATTGGGATGAATAACAGTGTTTTCCAAGTGTGGAAGTTCCGTGACCCTTGCTTGAAAATTACTTTACCAAGGTTGCATGTTTTTGGTGTCACTTGGGATTGGCAGAGATGGGTTATTGGAATCCATGAAAGGAGGATGCAGTAGTAAATTAGTCTTGTGTTACAGGGATGGAACCAAAATAAAACTGAGAAGCTTTTAGGTACCAAGATCTCTGCATCTGTTCCCTCTTAAAAACTGAATGCTAACCTTCTGGGAGTTTCTGAGGACGTGTGTTGGGTGGGGGGCAGGCCCGGTTGCAATCAGGAGGCTTTTCAGTGTCAGCGTTTTCGGTGTGTTTGTGTGTGTATATGTTTTTATGTGGCATGTGCATGTATGTGCACACATGTATGTACACTTTATCATGTGTGGAATGCTTTGGAAAAAACAGTTGCCATCAAGTTGACTCCAACTCATGGCGACCCCCTTGTGTGGCAGAGTAGAACTGTGCTCCACAGAGTTTCGATGGCTGATTTTTTGGAAGTAGATTGCCAGGTCTTTCTTCTGAGGCACCTCTGGGTGGACTCACACCTCCAATCTTTTGATTAGCAGCAGAGTGGGTTAACCCTTTGCACCACCCAGGGACTCCTTCTGATGAGTTACATACTTTTTATTCCTAATAAACATCAGGAAAATAAAAAGCATGTCCTTGACTCACTGGCACGCACCTCATGTACCTTCGGTGACATGAGCCCCACTCTGGGAAACGTCACTCTCACTACATCTTAAGCCTCTCCTGGTTTGGAATAAGAGTGACCGAGTGAGAATCATCCATGGTATTCTGTGTCATCATCTGACTGGGTCTGCACACAGCCGTGGGAGAGGGTCCTGCCATCTCATTCTGCAGAGTCGCCCTGAGCGCTCCTCGGGGCTGACTGTCAACATTGGGGGCAAGACGATCCGTCACTGTGCAGGACTATTCTGTGCATGGCTATGTGTCTGGCATCCCTGTCCCTTGCCTAGGAAATGGCAATGAGACCCCCGAGTCACAGTAACAACTGAAAATGCCCCAGATGCCCTTATTTGATGGGGAAATAGCTCAGGGCTTAACCCCAGGCCTCTTGGACTCTCAGACCCTTTTCCCTACATCACACCCTACTGGAGAACATGGCACCTGTGCCGGGAGAAGCCATACTTTAAGTAACGTAGAGACTGGAGCCCCAAGACTTCATGGGAAGACAGTGAGAATGTTAAAAATGAAACTTGGCCTTTTCCTTTCCACTTGATCTAACATGATAACAGAGGCGGGGTTATTGTGAACCTAGAAAGACCTGACGATCTGCTCCCATAAAGATTACAGCCTAGGAAACCCTATGGGGCAGTTCTACTCTGTCACAGGGGGTCGCTGTGAGTCAGAATCAACTCAGTGTCACACAGCAACAAAAATGAGGCTTAGGGTTCAGGACCCCTCACCTGCCTGGCCCCCAGGAGTGTCAGAAATTGCAGTTACATGTTACAGGTAGGAAGCCTGTCAGCATTGCCAGTATGTTGCATAAAGAGATCTCAGAAGAGAGGGACCTAGGTGTCTAAGACTCATGTCGTGTGTGATAATTTCTCATTCAACAAATACCTAATTTTGTGCATTTCATATTCTTTTGCATAAAAAGACCCCATAGTTGCATCAGGCTCAGCCCCACAAAAACGTGCATCCACCCCTGAACATCCCCCATTGTCAGTGGGATGTCCCAGGCACGTTGTGCACAAAGCCTGCCCTTTTATGAACCAGGACGTCTATGCATTTAACCTTCCAGCCCTGAGATGCCTCTCTCTGCATTACAGCCTCTGGATTATGAAATTTCTGCATTTCACACCCTGCTGATCAAAGTAGAGAATGAGGATCCACTGGTCCCTGATGTCTCCTATGGCCCCAGCTCCACGGCGACTGTCCACATCACCGTCCTGGATGTCAACGAGGGCCCCGTGTTCTACCCAGACCCCATGATGGTGACCAGGCAGGAGAACATCTCCGTGGGCAGCGTGCTGCTGACGATGAACGCCACAGACCCCGACTCCCTGCAGCGTCAGACCATCAGGTAAGGGAGCAGGAGGCAGAGGGGAATTGCTTTTCTTTTCCGGTTGCAGAAGATGGTTGTCAGGAGCAAAATACCATTAAATTAAACTTGTTAACGATCTGGGTGAGGTGGAGGAATGTGTCATAATGAAGAGTTTGTGGCGAATGGTGCCAAGGGACGGGGCTCAGTAGCTGAGGAGAGGGCCCGTGCACCTGGTTCTCAGCAACAGACCAGCCCAGGGGAGTGACGTCAGGCTGTGTTCCCAAATGAGTCCCCGAAGGGAGAGAGAAAGCCACCATCTGTGGCCTCCTGCATCTCAGACACTTGACCTGTTTTATCCTTACCACTTTGTAAGAAAGGTGTTGTTTTTGTTAGTTACCATGGAGTTGGCTCCGACTCATGGTGACCTGATGTATAATAGTGAAATGTTGTCCAGTCCTGTACCATCTTTGTGACCATTGGTATGTTTGAGTCCATTGTTGTAGCCATTGTGTCAGTCTGTCTCACTGAGGGTTTCTTTCATTTTATCTCACTCTCTAATTTACCAAACACAATGCCCTTCTCCAGCGATCAATCCCTCCTGATGACACATCCAAAATAAGCTAGTCAAAGTCTCAGAAAATATTCTGTGATCCATAGGGTTTTCATTGCCTAATTTTCAGAAGTAGATTGCCAGGCCTTTTCTCCTAGTCTTAGCCTAGAAGCTCTACTGAAACTAGTCCACCATGAGTGACCCTCCTGGTGTTTGAAATACCAGTGGCATAGCAACATGCAAGCCACCACAGTACCACAAACTGATAGATGGGTGGTGGAGAAAGGTGTTAGTTAACTCCCTTTACAGATAAGGACATTTTGAATTCAGAGAGGCTCAGAAACTTGCTCAAGGCCACCCAGCTTGGTAGCAGAGGAATCCAGATTGAAACTGAGAACAATCTGATGGCAAAGCCCATGCTCTTTGCTCAGTGTTACTTGCCTTTGAGCTGTCAGAGGAGAAAGGAGCAGAGATGCTGCCTGGTACTTAGAAGTGGACCACTTGGGTTGGGTTTTAGCCTGAAGAATGGCAGGTAAAAAAAAAAAAAAAAGTCTTCAAAACTCTCTACCTTTATTCCTTAAGCTCTGTCCGATGCTTAAAGTGTGTTTTTATAATGGGATCTAATTAAGTTGTGCATTACCTACAGTGTATCTAATGCTACTGGATACAAGATGCTCTTGATGGCGTGTGGATTCATAATAAACTTAAATCAGCATGCAGGTTCAAATGCCTGCTTGTCTCCACAAAAGCAAGTTATTAATCTTTCTCTTCCAAAATTGAATCTCCTTCTCAGATGAGGCACACATAATCAAGTATTAGATACACTTATCATAAACATGTGTCCTATCTCCTTGATTCGAAACACCTGAGAACGTGGCACAGTCTCTGTGGCAGCCACGTCACCATGGAGTGAGCTGGCAGAGAAGAAAGGGAAGTTCCTTTCCCATCACAAACGCAGATTTATTTTTACAACAAAACTTTCCTAAATGCCAGATGCACTAGCTAATATGGTGAAATAATACGAAATCCTATAATGATGTGAATCGGAAATAGCCATTCATTTTCCTCCTTTTCTCCCTTTTTTTTAATCTCTCTCTTGCTTGATATCTGGTGAAGGAAGTATGCAATTTAAACATCAAAGAGAAAGCTTTATCTAAGTACTTAGGTGGGAAAACCTGTAGCTTAACAGGCAACGGGGTAGTTATAGAAATTTAGGATGTCTTTAGGGGAGCTTAACCGTAATTTTGTACTTCTAAAAGAGGAGGTGGAAAAGGCAACTCCTTGGGGAGTATGGAATGAATTAAAATGGGGTTGACATTGCTCAGCCTGGGACTCTGCCGATGCCATTGGAACTGATGATGCTGCCAGGCATGAAAGGGTTAATGTCATGGGCCAGGGCAAGTGGAGGTGTCTGGGACACAGAGCTGGAGGTCCCACTAAATGGGAAGAACCCAGTCTGGGTTCTTTGATTAGACCAGCTCTTGCTGATGTAAATGGAGTCCCTGGGTGGCACAAACAGTTAAAGGTTGTTGGTTTGAATCCACCTAGAGGCGCCTCAGAAGTAAGACCTGGCAATCCACTTCCAAAAGTTCACAGTGATTGAAAACCCTATGGAGCACAGTTCTACTCTGACACACATGGAGTCGCCATGAGTCAGAATCGACTTGACGGCAAGTGCTTTGGATTTTTTTGGTTTGGCTGATGTAAGAAAAATGAATTTACTGGAAGACTCTAAGTGTAGTTTGTGGAATTGAAGATCATCTGGGAACTAGGCTGGGAGCGGGCAGGAATGGGGACAGCGTGGAGGCTCTAGGTAAAAGTAACTGGCTGGTTGGCACTTCAGGATCTCACAGGGTGAATACACCAGCTCCACTTGTTTTCTATTCCTGGGTCACTTGGCCCAAGGTTCAGCTTTCCAGGGGCGGGTCTGCTCTGCTAAGCTTGAGTCAGGAGCCTCCCGCTCAGGGTGCCTTGGCTGAGGGTCAAGGAGATGATGTGCCCGGCTATGGCTGCCCACCACAGTGGGGTAGCTGATTGACAAGGAGGGAAGGACATCCTGTCTGGCAGATGGAAAGTGGCATTTGGAGTACAGCAACCTGCAACGGAAAACAATCCCAGCAGAGTTAGGGGACAGAATTCCAGTCTGGGGGAAGTGGGTGACAGGCAAGAGCCAGGACATTAAGGAACATGAGGCCAGGATTTGCAGTGGGAAGAGGGCCACCAGCAACGCCAGTCCTCCATCCTACCCTGTATCCTCTCTCCCGACTAAAAGCACCAGCAACAGTCCCAGACTGAGTCTCAGTGAGCCAGCCTGGGACACAGACGCATCACTGAACCAAATCGAACAGCCGGGATGAGATGTGCTGATAGGCTAGGATGGGGCGTGAGCCCACCCTGGAGCCCATGTGGGGTAAGCTACACCTAAATCATGAGAACTCCCCTGTGAAACCCAGGAGGTTCTTCCCTGAAGACGGAAATGGATGTTGAGGGGTCGGGATAGCAGAGAGCCACTGTGACCAAGTTCAATCTCCTGGACCTTCTCAGAAAATATGGCCAAAGTGTTGCTCGGCGGCTGATACACCTCAGAGTTCTAGCCTGTACAAACTGGTCCGGCTGAGTGCTGTCTTGACAGATCCCATTCTCAGCCTTGAAACGAAGATGGGTTTGTGTGTGAGAAAGAGAAAGAGCGAAAGAAATGTCTCTCTCTCTCTCTCTTTCTCTCCCTCTCGACTGATTGCTCAAACACATTCCTTCTTCTGGAGCCAGAGCTGCCCCAGAAGTGCCCCTAGCCTAAACTGGTACTTGCTAGCCCTCCCCTCCCCCACCTTCCCCTGCCCCTGCGTTCCCTGCTTCCCCATCTTCCCACCCTCCCCTCTCATCCCTTCTGGTTCTGAGCTCAGCCAAAGCAGAGATGACACCATCCACAGGTTGAGCTGTTGCTGGAGGGCTCTTTGGGAAGTACAGGCTCATTCATTATTTGCAGCCTTTGATCCTGGACACAGAAGTGCTGCCCCGGGGGGCTGCAGGGAGGCTGGTCAGAGACGCTTTTTTAATAATTTGTGCTGGACTCCCCAGAATTTCTGGGCAGACATGATGACCTTGCAAGCTGGGTTGTTGTTGTCTTAATGATTCTTCAGGGAGTGGGTGGTGGAAGAGAGATGAATGCTCATTTTATCTCAGGGAAAGCTCTGAGTTTAGCTGACTCAGACACACACACACAAAGTTGCTGCCCCAGCCTTCTGTCCCCTAACAATCTTGATTCCCAGCAACAGCACTGCATCGGGCTCTGGTCATGTGGTTGTCGTGGGTGTCTCTGTGTGTCTGTGAGTCTGTATATCTCCATGTCTCTGTCTGTCCATCTCTGGATTCCTCTTTATTCGTGTCTATTTCTCCTTGTCTCTTCTTTGCTCTGTCCATTTCTCTCTTGTCTCCCTTTCTCTCTGTCTCTCTGTTTACCTCGGTCCTCTCTCCCTCTCTCTAGCTTTCCCTCTGTGGACTCTCCCTTCTTCTCTGTCCTCTGTCTGGTTCTTTCTTCCTCTTTCCCTTTCTCCCCTCTCTCTTGCCATTCATAGTCATTCATTCATTCATTCTTTTTCCCTCCTTCTCTCCCCTCATACTCTCATTCTCTCCCCCACCATCTATTTTTCTACCTCTATTTCTGTCAGTCCGAGGTTCTCCGTGACCCAGCTCCATAGTTTCATCTTATTGCAAACCATGGACTCAGTACTGAAGAGCACAGTGGGAAGTGCTCCACTTGACCAGACTCACAAGAGCTTGGTTCGCATCCCAGACCCCAATCTTCGACAGACTTTGACCTCCTCCCTCAGTCAGAATGAGAAATTGTCCCGCCCCCACCCCCCATGGAACGTCGTAACTTCTCCTCTGACTGCAGGCCCTGCCCGTGTTCTGTCTTATATGGTAAAAAGCACGTCTCAGACACAACTACCCCACTGCTGGCCATGCCATGACCCCTTGATCTCACCAGGGAAAGGCACAGTCAGCGAGAGGTGCTTCGATCTCTCAGAAGCCTTCATCTCCAAAGATAGGAGTTACCCGGCCATCAGCTGAACATGCTTACTACGAGCTGGGCTTCTTAAGACTCGTTAAAAAGCCCTTCTAGGAAGAACAACACACAATTCAGGGGAAATCAGCATAACGGAGTAAACCAAAAGCTAAGAAGTTTCCTGAATACAACTAAACACTTTGAGGGACACAGTAGCAGGGGCGGGGGTCTGGGGACCATGGTTTCAGGGGACATCTAGGTCTATTGGCATAACAAAGTTTATTAAGAAAATGTTCTGCATCCCACCTTGGTGAGTAGCATCTGGGATCTTAAAAGCTAGCGAGCAGCCATCTAAGAAGCATCAATTGGTCCCAACCCACACGGAGCAAAGGAGAATGAAGAAAGTATTAGCCCAAGAGACAAAAAGGGCCACATAAACCAGAGACTCCATCAGCCTGAGACCAGAAGAACGAGATGGTGTCTGGC